TTCTGTTAATGCAGCCTAGCACTGTGTTGGCTTTTTTGGCAGCTGCAGCACACTGCTGGCTCATATTTAAATGACTGTCCACTAGGACTCCGAGATCCCTCTCACAGTTACTACTATTGAGCAAGGTACCCCCTATACTATACCTGTACATTTGGTTTTTCTTGCCTACATGTAGAACCTTACTTTTTTCATCATTGAATTTCATTTTGTTAGATAGCGCCCAGTGTTCAAGTCTGTCCAGATCCTCCTGTATCCTAAGCCTGTCTTCTGGAGTGTTGGCTATTCCTGCCAGCTTGGTGTCGTCTGCAAATTTGATGAGTTCCCCATCTATCCCCTCGTCCAGATCGTTGATGAAGATGTTGAAGAGCACTGGGCCCAAAACAGAGCCCTGATATAAGTTATTTCTTATATAAGTTATTTCTTATATAGAGAGCAACTCCACCTCCTCTTTTATTTGGTCTGTTTCTTTTAAATAATTTAAATCCCTCTAGCTGTGTGTTCCATTTGTGGGTTTCATAAGGATAGTGCTAACTGGGAGAGTCCTCTGGACAGTGGTAAGAGAAGTGAACTGGCTTCTCCTGAGGACCTTTGGGGGACTGATTTTATTTTCTGCATTAGTTTTTATTGCAGTTATATATTGCTTATATTTTATGTTTCTGAATTCATATGGTTACTCTGTTGTTGTAAACCTCCTAGGGTCCAACTTAATTGAGGAGCATATAATAAATAAATAATATTTTCATGATTTATTCAAAAAAGACATCAGGTTATTAACTTATTTTAAGAATTTAAAGACCTGAAGAAGATGCGTTTCCCTCCAGGGAAAAATTTGTTGGTTTCTGAAATGGCTTCAACTGACAGTTGTTCTGAATGGATACAGGTGCCGATAAAGGAGAATATTTATAGCTCAGGGTTGAAATGAGGAGACCTTGGTGGTCTCTTAAGCTTGGTTGTTTTTTTGCAGACATTTTACTACTTAAATAATAAACCTGCACTGAAGATGTTATCTAATTTGAGTAATGAAACATCTGCAAGAAAGCAACCAGGCTAGAGAGCACCAAGGCCTCCAAGACAGGTATCTCTGCATGCTGATTTAGCTGGTTACAATATTTTTAGAGTTCTTCTGTTTTGTCAGGTCCAACCATATTCACCTCTTTTGGTCTTTGTTCTCTCCCATTTTCTTCCTCTCAAATTAATCTGAAGCATTTCTGAAAGGTTGAGTGCATGTTTGTTATTGGTACAAAAGGAAGCCAATTGTCATTTCTGCCAAACAAGGGACAGACGTGGCTTTCTGACCCGCCACAAAACTTGCCAATGCAGAATGTAGGTACTTGGTTGGTAATTCAATTGTTTTCAAATGTTTTTTTCAAAAGCCTTTTTTCAAAGGCCTCTATTAGAATCCCTTTATTACCACATCAATATCTGGAGATCTTAGGTAGCAAATGGTAGTCAGGTATTCAGCTGTTGGTCCGAGATTTAAAAATAATGTTATTTTTTAAAAAATGAAATAGACCTAATTTTTTCCCCCAAAAATGGTAGCCTTGTGAGAAAACATGATCAAGTGTCAGATGCTTTAAATAAATGCAGTCACACTACTAAAGTAAATATATGCATTTAGAACGGAGCCCTCTTAAATGAGGACATGAACTTCTGCATCATGAATTAAAAAGAGAGAACACAAACTATGTTGCATTCATGACATTCACTCTCTAGCAAAACTGAAGCTATTATCAAGCTATCATATATTTACCTGGGCATCAGAACAGCAAGTTGCCTGGCACCCAAAGTGTGCAAGTGAAACAGCGATGCAAAATTCCAACAGGCTGAACAAGAGCAGCAGACTGGAGAGGCCATAACCGAAATTATATTGGGTACTCTGTAAACATGTGGAAAGATAGTTGTAATCTGCTGAGAAATTAATGTAGCGGTATGTATTTTGTTTTATTTAATGTGCTGCACCATTAAAAGGGACTTCCTGGGGAAAGACTGGGAGGAACAATTGTACTGGGACAAATAGAGGCTGTGTACAGGTAACCCTCGACTTACAACCACAATTGGGACCAGAATTTCCATTGTTAAGCAAGGCAGTTGTTAAGTGAGTCATGCGTAATTTTACCTTTCTTGACACTGTTGTTAAGGAAATCGCTGCAGTTAAGGGAATCCTACGGTTGTTAAGTGACTCCAGCTTCCCCACCCCCATCGTCTTTGCTGGCTGGGAAAGTCACAGAGGGGATGCTGCAAATGTCCTAAATACATTGCTAGTAGCCAAGCCTCCAGGTTTTAACCATGTGACTGTAAAGATGCTACAATGGCCATACATGCAAAGAGTGGCCATAGCTTTGAGTGCCATTGAAGCTTTGAATGGTCACTAAATGAGTAGTCGTAAATTGAAGACTGCCTGTACAGCTTGTGTGATATGAGAAAGCCATACCAGGAAACTTTAGCACCTCTTATGCTTTGCAGGATTCTGAAGGGAAATTCCAGATAACACTGAGAATCAAAGGAGGATCAATCATATTTCAGATCCACACATCAAGTTAAATCATTGCACAGTAGCACGTATTTCACCTGAGCCTTGTTTCTTCTTTACGCACCACAGAAAGCTGCTCATGTAGGATGAAGCAGAGAAGAAGAATCCAACGCTCGGTCTAAATCATTAGTTTTGCCGATGCAGAAATTCTCAGCTCTCCTGACCAAACCGGCTGAAGGACATTGTTCAAGGTGGCAGTAGAGTTAGCAGGCCAGATTGGAGCTTTTGTAGGAATGTGGAATTTGGAGGCCCCGGGTCAAGACCACGGTAAGGACATCCCATAATAATGTTAAAGGTTCCCTCCAAGTTGTAAAGGCCATAGTATGATGTACATTACTTTATCATTCTTATTCTTATGTTCTAAGGGTATTTAAGCCGTAATCTTTCTTACATCTAGGCTCTTTGGCATTCTGCTGGCCAAGTGACCAGTGGTCACTCTAGCTCTGTTTTATCTTCAGTCCCTCTGCTTCCTTATTTAAAGGGACATGTTCCCCAGAACAAGGTATTCAGGTTATGATGACTCAAACACAATTGAATACTTTGGGTGTACATTCTCCTGAATTACATCAAGAGTCACAAGGGACTGAACCGAAAGCAGTTAAGGCAAAGGCTGGCTAGTCCAAAGACGAAAAGCCGCAGGCCTCCCCATTGTCCTAACATATCCAGTCTTGGTCACCTGACTTTATCTCCAAGATAATGGGTGAAGGGAAATAGATTTTATACACCTTGAGGCTGTTGTTGGATGGGGTCAGAATAAGAGGAGAGGAAAAGATTAGTTTTATACCAGTACAGCTAATGATGACTTAAGGCTTGGAATCTTATTCATGCTCTGAGGATAAGGTAAAGGTAACCTCATGGTAAAATTGGGGAAATTGGCATTAACAGATTATGGTTAAGGGCAGCAATGTGATTTAGATTCAGTCAGTCTAAGTCTAAGATATATTGTGTCCCTTCATCAATAAGGATGCAGCTAGATCTATTTACTTGAGCCAACTTCTTTCCAATTATCTGTCAGGTTGAAAAGGGGAAAAAACCCTGGATGTGATTCTACTATGATTTAACACTCATAAGAAAGCACTTTACAAAATAGTAAAATATCAAGCCATTGATCCCGGGTATTGGTATGGTTCTAAACTGTCCACACTTCAGAACTTACTCAATTTTCAGTTTTCTAAAACTGGTGTGGCAAATGCAAAGAAGGGATGAGGATGTGGGGGTGGCAGGAAAACCTGGTATACATTTCAACATGTACAGCTGTATTCTGTTCTATATAGAATTTTCAAACAATCTAAGCCAACAACCATATCTATTCCCCTTCCCACCAAAAAAAACAAAAAACAAAACAAAACTGGAGAAGACAAAATCTACAAAGTCCTACGCACTTTGTACCTAGACGACCAGAAGATTGCTTGCCCTTATTTAACAAATATATAAATATATTTTAAACATTCAAATGAAATAGCACTCATGTCTTTGGGACTTAGACCTATTCAAGGAAAGGTTTCAAACAAAACTCAAAAGGTCTGAGATATCCCAGCAGCATATATAATCTCCTTCAGGATTCAGCACATGAAGCCAAAATTTATGACCAGATTGGTTTACTTACGATTGTACTTCCAGCGTTATATAGAGCAGCTCTGCTGATGATCAGGTCACATAAATACAGCATGATACCAACTAATGCCATTATAGCACTTGCGATGTTCAATCCTACACTGGATTGTACCTGAAACAGCAATGCACCAGAAGGAGAGAAATTATAATTATGGTGTTAGCATAAGTCTTATTAAATACAAAGCATAAAAATAATTAGCCACAACTATGGTAAAAACAGTGACAGAAAAATTCTATGAGGCTGCTTAATGACAAGTAACCAGTCAGTGGTGAAACCAGGCAACAGCCACTAAAATCATAGGTATCAAACAGCAGCAACAATAGGGTTTTCCACGGATGAAAGGCAAATACCACAATTCATTTGAAGGCTTTTCTAACACTGTCAAATTCCTTCTCTCTGTTTCTGGATGTGAGCCTCTATTGAAGGCCAGGTGGTTAACAGTGACAGGAAAACTGGTAAGGTTTATTCACCCAATAACATTCTGGTAAAGAAAGAAATCCCACATTGTTTATTCTAGGACACAATGCACTCTAAGCATTAAATGTTAATGTTAAATGCTCTTTTAGCTATACAACATTACAGAGAGGCAACTAGAGAGATGGGAATGGAGAAACCCTTGGAATCATTTGTGAGAATTCTGAACATTCAAAAATTGCTCTGTTTTTAGTTCTCCCATGTTAGGAATGTAGTATTTTTCTATCAAGATGGTCGTTTTTCTTCTCTTGAATCCACACTATGTTCTTTTACAAGACAAAAACAATTCTGTGTTGCTATGAACATTTTAAACCAAGGAGAAACAGGAGAGAAGAAAGCAAGCTCTTTGCAGGAGGGCTACCATCAGCACTCTCCTCTCTTTAATTCCCAGGATGAGACCCACACTTATTCCATACTTTTACTCCTAATACACTGAGCTTCTTTCTAATGTTGCTTTCATGTAGGAATTCTTCTGAAACAGGAACCTCTGTCAAGATGGAGGAGGGAAAGGAAGAGGAGCTATGTTGGCGATCTGGTTCAAGATAGAGAATGCAGGAAAATACTTCTTTGCTCAGGACTAGCAGTAGCCACCAAGGAAGCTCTAGTAGAAGAAGCACCCATGTCATGGTCATTGACTCTCTCAGGCTTCTCTCATTTTCGTCATGGTATTGACAGGACCTGCAGTGTTGCAGATTGCACATCAGGAAGGGAACTTGGGAAGAAGCCCACCGCAAAATGGGGACCAGGGGAGGCTCCAGTTCTGGATGGTTGAACATTCTCTACTGTTGACATAGAACTTTCAATGGAAGCAAAGCTTGGAAGCAAAAGTTGATCAAAGAAGGAGGAGGTTAGTTTGCTTTTCTTTCCCAAATGTTGATTTAAGCCCGAGCAGTATCTGAAGACAATATAAAGAGTGCTAAGTGATTATGAAGAAACAACATAAAAGAAATTCAAATGCTATATAGCTTTCTCACCAAACCCCGATTTGGACGGTTCGCAGCCGCTACACATAGTGATCCAGAAGAAATGAACTATGGAAAAAGAAACAGCAGAAGATTTATTTTAGTCCACTGTAAATATCAACAGAAAAAAATATCAGATAAATCTGGCCCCCATGAGAAGCCAGGGAGGCTCCAATGCAAACAGGATTTCTTTAGATATCTGTTAGCCATTAATACCATGGTGCAGGACTGAATAGAAATTTGCACATACTTACAAATATCCCTCCCCAAATGGGGTAACCTACAATTCCAGATACGATAAGGTAGTACCGTTGAGAAGGAATGAGACAAAGCGAGACAGCCCCAAAACCAATGTGGATCAATCCAATCATGATCTCGACGGCCTACGGTAGGAAAACACACAACATAAGACAAATTTATTCTCTGAATCAGAGAAAGGCAAACATTCTAATTTGTTAGCACCTCTGGAAAAGCATCACTTTCTATCCCTCTTGAAAGGTCCTTGAAAGGGGTTGGAGCTTCTAAGCTTCCAGGGCAAGTGTTGACCCAAGGCCTGGTTTCCTATGGTGAAAAATTCAAATGGGGAGAAGGGACAGTTTGAGACACCATTGTCACTATGTACCTGACATTTACTGTAGATTTATTATCTAGCTTGACCTACAGTGGGAATGCTCTTGCCAGGAAGAAGGTCTGTATGAATATCAAGATAGGCCGTTGAGAGAGGAACATCACTTCTCTCATTACAGACTCTTCTGCAGGTGGAACTTAAGCATGGTCATAAGCACAAAGCAACTTCAACCGGCTTGGGTTGTAGCCAATCTATGACCAAATTCTTATGGAGAAATGTCCAACAGTTGCATTTCACAGAGAGAAGGGAGAAAAAGGAACTTCATATCCAAATTCAGAATTTTTTATAGAAACAGAAAAGAAACTACCAGGAAGAACAGAGGTTTCTGGAGTATATTCCAAAACCAGGGGAAACCCAAGCCAAGTTCCAGAACTTCATCATGGGGCTCACAGGTCTCTACATAGCTCTAAAATCTTAATGGCCTTCAAACAGGAACATAGCAAAGCATACGTACCCCAAGCACTTTGGCCTCAGCACTGAGGAATTTCTCCATAGGACCCTTCTGGGAGACTTGTTGAGGAGCACTGATGGAAATTTCAAGTTGCTCAGCTCCATACTGAGGGTATGGAGTTGCTCCAGATGCCTGAAGAGCAACACCGGGCAATCCAGGGGCTGTTTGGATTACATTCGCTCCATTAGAGGGGATGACAACTACGGTTCCACTGGCCATTTTTGCTGGAAGTGTTGCTACAGCTCAGTTACCTGCAAAGAAACAAGTGAGGAAAGTTAATGTCTTAGCACGGGGGTCCCCAACCTCAGGTCCATGGTCCGGCACCTGCCCACAGCATGCCAGAAACCAGTCCGTGCAAACAAGCAAAGCCCCATCTGTGGGATGCAGGCAGTACATGAAACCACACCCCCTTTGGTCTGCAGAAAAACCTCTCTCCACGGAACCGGAACTGGTCCCTGGTGCTCAAAAGGTTGGGGACCTCTGTCTTAGCATCAAGGAGGCAAAGCCTGGTTCCTTGTCCTTAATCTCACATTATGAGATAACATTTGCCTGCATTAAAGCTGCAGAAGATTGCCAGACGGCTTCACGGAGCAGGGTACTAAACACATACAACTTTCTCAAGGATAAAAATCTTCCCTTTCCCCACCATTCAGCCAGAACCAAAGAAGCTTCTTTGTTGAGAAGTGAAATGTTTTCAAGGAAAAAAACAAAAATAATTCCAGTTGCCTTTTGAAAAGCACCTGGGGGACAACCATGACCTGGAGGATTGAGAATCTCCATAAATATCAGGGAGAAAAAGTTAATCAGAACATCAAAGAACATGATTATATTCCATTTTTCAATGCAAAAAAGCACCACCTCAGATCCACCCATTTGGGAAAGGTTTTATTGTACTTGCCCTCTTCTCCTGTTACTGGCAAAATGGATTAAAGGTACCAAGCATGGATGATCCTGGTGATTGCCATCTTCCAGCAAGTTCATACTCATTTGAATAGAACAAGTTACTGTAAAGCAGCTGTTTACAACCTTTGTAGATTGTTGGCCCATAGGGTTGCCAGGTCTGCTTCCAAAAAATAGTGGACAAGCAGGGCGGGGGGGTTAAGTAGTAAAAAAAAGTAGACTGTACAGCTTTAGATTACGTATCATTTCATCATAAAGCTTTTGAATAAAAAAAATGTCCACTATTTTGTGAAAAAAAATAGTGAACATAATGTGAAAAAAGTGGACTGTCCGCTCAAATAGTGGACACCTGGCAACCCTAGGCCCCAGCTAGTGGGTGAGTAGGGGAGAGGGGAACTGGGCTGCGTGAGCAGCGGGCAGGCACGCACGTACGTATGCAGCCCCTGCGCAAAGACCACGGCCTGGTAGTAAGTTACTGTAAAGCAGCTGTTTCCAACCTCTGCGGCTTGGAGGCCTGGTTGGGAGGTGTGGGGGGGGGAGAGAGAGAGAGAGAGAGGGAACCAGCCCAACTCCGAAAAGGCCATGGCCCGGGGGTTGGGGACAGCTGCTGCAAAGGACACAAGAGCAGGGATCTGTATCCCAGCTTTGCTTCACCGATATGGTGAAGCTTCTTTTCAGAACACAACTGGAGCATCAGCCTGGGTTTCCTAACAAAACTCCGGGCAACCTCAGAAAACAGTGAAGCGATAAAGTCCCAACTGCAATCGACATCTAATAACCCTCCGGATTTTTAAAACCCTGACCCAATGGCCCGAATTAATCCCACCAATTAGGATTTGTACAGACCTTAAGAGGAAGCTACGTCCTTCTTGAGCTGCATTAATTGGAAGTCAAAATTAATGGAACTCGACCCACCCACAAACTTTTGAACGGTGAACTTCAAATATTGAGTCTTTGTAAATTTACAGGGCGCCTGTGTGTGTATTAGGCAGTTCCATCATGGCAAGATTGATTGTAAACTTTTTCCTGTCCGCTAATTCTCCTCTTAAATGCTCCCGTCTAGAAGACCTGCGGTGACTGCGAGGCTGAGAAGACCGCGGGTGGATGGCTGAAGGGGAGAAGCGGCAGGCACAGGATGGTCCACACATTATTTCCATATTATTGTTTAAAAATAGTAATCAGAATCTACTCACGACAACCGCTCAAGACGAGATATACGGATGCACTAAGGAACAAGAAAATAACTTACGGGAAACAAGTGGAGGGTGGGGTTCCGTCGCCTACTACGGTAAAAGGAGGGATTTACTCATTGCTTAATCGAGGAGTCCTGAAAAAACTTTTTTTTCCTATTTAACTGTTGCAACAAATAAGAGTTTGTGGCCAGGAACCTTTTGCTTATTCAGAGACGAGAGGAAAATTATCCAAGTTTACAAGGTCCTGCTATTCCCAGGCTAAAACGAATTACTGAAATCAAACGCATCCCTCGACCTTACTTCCTCCCAAAGTACGCAATCCCATGCTTGAAGGAACTCGTTTTTAACCCCTCGGAGTCATCTACAACCTTTGCAGGAATCGCCCAGAAAGAAAAACAAGAGGACGCGCAGTGCGAGCAGAGCCCCCCCCCGCCCCGGACCTCTAAGTAGACCTAGTGAGCGGAGAGGATTTTTTTTTTCCCCTTTCCCTCCACCGGCGCTCTCTAACTTTCGGCCTTTGAACAAGCAAAGCCGCACGGCATGAAGGGGAGGCTGGAGGGAGTCGCTCCCAGCCTCCGACTGCGCTCCTTGCGGAATTTTCTCGGGGAACCTCAGAGGCCGCTGAAACATCTGGACCACCATATCGTTTGGCTACTAAGCAGATGCCAAAGGCAAATCACCTCCGTGCATTGGGCAAAGTTAGCATATAGATTCATCTATTATGTTTCCTTTTGCACTTATTTAAACTGAGCATTTGCTTTTGGGTTGACTACTCCCCAGTAGTATATAGAGAAATTTCTCTATTGGAGAGTCCCCCATTCTTTCACACTGCGTGTTACACGGGAGCGCCCTCTAGTCCTGATCCTCCTATTGGTAGTTTGTATTGGCCTGTGTGACGAACTTCTACGCGGGGCGTGTGTGTGGAGCAGATTGCTTCAACGCTATAGTGTTTTAGAAAGGGAGACAGCTTCTGCACCCCCTCCCCCCATGAGCTATGCTATTCCCAGATTTCATCTTTTTAAAAAGCTGCTTGTCGTTATCTCTTCTAGATGCCAAGATAATTTCCCTATATTTTCAGTCTTTAGTTCAACTCCTAGCAGTTCATGTCAATGGGAAATTAGACAGGTCTTTCAATCAATGGGATGATAATCAGGTGGGACTGTGGCAGGTCCAATTACCTGACACAGTGTAATTTTTAATTTAAGAAGAGGCAAGAAGAAACCCAAAATATTTTGGATGAAATAAAAATATGGATTAAAGAATTCCCCAGGGAACATAAATCTGTCAAGAAATTAAGGTTTTATAGCAACAGTTATCCATGTAAACCATGAGAGAACTGGAAATAAAATTGAATTATGAAAAACACAGACGTTTTCAATTTGTGAATACACCAGGGAAATGGTTATCTTATAAGCTATATAGCGGAAGAAAAATATGAAACTACAGTGGAGATTATGTATTGATGAACAATGTGGCTATACAAAAATATCATTATTTAATTTATATAAAGCACTTGTTTTTCCACTGGAGAAAACAACTGAGTAACAGAAATACTAATACAGAGTGAAGGAAACAAAGAAAAAAAAGATAAAAGTGCAGAAAGAAAAGAGTAAAAAAGAAAAGAAAAGCTTCCTATTTTCTTTGCAGCAAATATAAACATCATTACAAAATCATCTTACTCTATGATTACAAAAATGGTCACTTTTTTCTATTTATTTTTTTCTAATTATCAAAAAAATCTAGTCACAAGTACATTTTACGAGTCCTGATGGTACAGTGGTTAAAGTTCAGTATTGCAGCCAAACTCTGCCCCGTCTGGAGTTTGATCCCGATGGGGCTCAAGGTTGACTCAGCCTTCCATCCATCCAAAGTCAGTAGAGTGAGGACCCAGATTGTTGGGGGCAATATTCAAATAATGCTTCAACATTGTAAACCACCCAAAGTGTGCTGTAAAGCATTAAGGGGTGGTGTACTTCTCAACTTACAACCACAGTTGAGCCCAACATTTTTGTTGTTAAGTGAGACATTTGTTAAGTGCTTTTCCCCCACTTTGTGACCTTTCTTGTCACCATTGTTAAGAGAATTACTGCAGTTGTGAAGCTAGTAACACAGTTGTGAAGTGAATCCAGCTTCCCCATTGACTTTGCTGGTCAGAAGATTGCAAAAGGGATCACATGACCCAGAGACATTTCATCCGTCATAACTATGAGTCAGTTGCCAAGTGTAAATTTTGATCACATGACCTTGGGGATGCTCCAATGGTCATAAGTGTGAAAAATGATCAGTCACTTTTTTTTAGTGACGTAACGTTGAACAGTCACTAAATGAACTGTTGTAAGCTGGGGACTACCTCTGTAAGCCTAAATGCTATTGCTTATGCTATTTTTTCTGTTTCATATAAAAAGGCACTTATTAACATATTTGGTGGACATGTGCCAAAGCGAAGAGTTATTGGAAAAAGATACATGCCTGGCTAGAAAAGATGTTGGGAGAATACGTAGATTTTAAAACTGAACTTTTTTTGTTAGGTATAATGCCAGAAAAGACTGGTAAACAAAGCATATATTTGACTTTGCATGTTATAACAGCGGCAAGAATTATATTTGCACAATATTGGAAAAATGAAGGAATACCATCAGATGAAGAAATAGTTAAAAAAAATATTAGAATGCGCAGAGATGGATAGACTGACTCTGAGACTGAAAGAAAAAGAAAAAGAAGAAACGGAATATTATGGGACTTATTTTATCAATGGCTAGAGGAAAGAATAAAGTATTAGGAACTAAATATGTATTTAGTGAATGTAAACTCAGACAGCACGTTTGTTGAATAAATACTATTGAATGTATGGGGGGAAAATCAATAAAAACCTTTAAACAGGAAAAAAGTTTTGTAATGTTTTCTGATCCTCCTTCTCCATAAGTTGTCCTCTAAATTCATCTTCTGTGGGAGGAAGGATACTTGAGAGAGAAAAAATTTCAGGCAACCTACTTTCCCAGATCAAATAAGCTGCCTATTGGACCTTTTCACTTCCTAGTCCAAATCTGCCTCCTCTGAAAATCACAACCTTCCAGCATTAAATTATAATTGAAATATGTATAAATTAATGAAAAAAATCTAAAATAAAAAGACCATAATCATGCAGGTACACACGAGAGTTGGCAAACTCAAAATGTAGTAGCCTTTTTAACAATAACAACACATGTTGAAAAAAAATCAATTTCATTTTCATTTTAGAAGTTGCAATTCACATTTTAGGGTTGATCAATCCCTGTATGTCATCTGTCCCGGCATTAGAAGTTATCAATAGAAGCTAACATTCATATAGATGGTCGGAGGATCATAGTTTTCACTAAGCTCTCATTCAGGTTGAGTTACTGAACTTGATAGGGACATACAGTATCCTGAGCATGTTTCACGTCCTTTCCTCCAGTTAGGGAGATGGTTCAAAAGTATGCTGATAGGATTTGCTTCCTCTGCATAGCTGCCCTAAGCTGCCCTAAGCTGCCCTGAGCTGAAAGAAAAGTCCCAATTGCTCCCTAACTGGGTGTTTGGAGGAGGAGGAGGAGGAGGAGGAGGAGGGGTTTTGAAAGAGGGCTGGAGTGGCTGATTAAACTAACATTCAACCTTAGTGTTCTTGGAATAACCAGACTGTGAGTCCATTGCAAAAACCAGTGGCCCACATGCAGATCCCTTCATGGAGTGCTGTGTCTACAGAGGTCCTGCTCTTCTACTTTTTCTGACCCTAAAAGAAAGACCATTGAGCAGCAACCTGGTCACAAAAACTGCCTCATAGGCTAACCTGCCTATTGGGCCTTCGCCCCCCCCCCCCCGAATCCAGGGTTGACAGGAAGGTCATTTTACAGAGCTCTTGATCTATCACTAGCATAGCATCAAGAGTGGTAGAGAAAGCAGTAAAGAATTACCTTCCTAGAGCGACCTGCCTGTCAGTGACATAGAAAGGGAGCCAACCCACAGAGCAACTGGCCTGCTGGTAAACTAAAACTGTGATGACAGGGAGGTGGTACACAGCAGTTCTGGTTTATGCTTTTCTGCAATCTTGGTGGGGCTGCTCTTCTCCTGGGATCATGTCTGTCCAGCATCACAACCCCAGATGCCCCTGGAGGGAAGTCAGCAGCCATCCTATCAGTGAAGTAATGCGTATAAAGGAAAGGAAAGCTGAAGTCAGAACATAAGCAGTTGCTTAACCATTTTGCTTAATGATCGACAATCCCAAGTGTGGCTCTCCAAACAGACTATCGGCAGAACTACATTGCTATTAAACCTCTGAGCCTATCTCTCACCCACTAGTTTTAGTGGGTGCTCTTTCTGTTGCTGTCTATGGAGTCTACAGAGTGAAATACATCAAACAACATATTTTTGAGATTTTCTCTCCTGCTCAGAAGATTCGCCCTGTACCCTTACACTACAAGGCGAAAAACTACCCAAATATTTTGGCACCCAAGCAAAGCACCAAGTTGTATCTGTGACACAAGACACATATCCTAGAACCAAAGCTTTAGAAAATCTTGATGGAGTATCAGTTCTTGTGTTCTTTCACCTGAAGCCATCTGCTTTACTGTACTATGTGGTGGGTGGCAGTAGTTAAGATGTAAGTTATTACCTCCATCCCTATTCAAGCACACTGAGGAATTTACAAAAATCAACCTCTCAGAAATTGTTATCCACAGAGATCCTCCACAGGGGATCTTTTAGACAACATAAATACACCTCAGAAGTGGTCTTGAATCTGTCTGCCTTTCTTAATTTAAATTTGGGAAAGCTGAGCTGAAAGAAAATGATAAGTCTGGCTCCAGGGGTTGATTTGTCCAAAGAAAAATGGGGGGGGGGACTCCAGTTGGATTAGGCAACTATTGATCTTTACACAACTTAATTAGCAATGAAACGGATATCCTTTTATCATGTTCAGCAGCACCCTATTAATCTAGCACCAGTTACAGAGTGGAAGCCTGGATCAAATGAAACCCTGTTCCTTCATTTGACTCTACTCCATAACACTTACAGCACAATTTTCAGCATGTTAGTTCTCAGCTACACCCAGTGAAACTCACCTCAAACTCATAAGAACCGAACCGAACAGGAATTCTTTATTGGCCAAGTGTGATTGGACACACAAGGAATTTGTCTCTGGTGCATAAGCTCTTAGTGTTCATACAAGCAACAACTGATAAATCCTGATCATAGTCATAAAATACATTCATCATATCTTGTATCATAAATGTATCTTGTATCATAAATCATAAGATACAAGATACATAGCATACTAAATAAGCAATCGACACAAATCATACTAGGATACTAAATAAAACAATATAAATCATAAGATACAAGCAAAAACGTTAGTCATAAGAAGATAAGGATATAGGTAATAGGAAAGATGTGATGGATAATAGTAATACAGCCCTACTAGGTAGTTTCAGTGTTGTGGGAATTAGTTGTTTACAGAGTGAAGGCATGGAGGGGGAGAAAACATTTGTCTAGTTCTTTTGGCATGCAATGCCCTATAGCAGGGCTTTTCAACCAGTGGTACAGGTACCACCTGTGGTACATTGGCACCTGGCAGGTGGTATGCGACCATCCTAAAAAAGTGGTAGTGGGGGAGGGGAATGAGCTGAACCGGTGGCAGCGCCGCACAAGCCTGAGCAAGAGACGGCTGGAGCTGCAGGGCTGTCAGGGCTCAGCAGAAGCACCAGGATCAGTGCCAGGATCCAGCTGGAGCTCGGCCCTGAACCTGGCACTTCTGCTGAACCCTGAAGAAGCGCCGATCAGCTGGAATGTTGCAGCATCTCCAGGGTCTTGTGATTTACATTCAGATGCTTGGCAACTGATTCATATTTATGACGGTCACAGTGTCCCAGGGTCATGTGAAGTGACCAAAACCTGCTGCAACCACCCAGCAGACGGGGGGGGGGGAAATAAAAACCAAACACCCCCCACCCCACCCCCGCTGCCAATCCTCAACAGAAATGCTCACAAAAATGAAAAACTCGGACAGGAGGAAGAGCGCCACCGAGTGGGCAGGCAGGTGTCTTGCTCGGCTGTGGCTTGGGGGGCACTTTTTCAATGCCATTGTAACTTCGAACAGTCACTAAGCGAACTGTTGTAAGTCGAGGACTACCTGTACTTTATCACTTTTTTCCTTTTTTTTTTTTTTTTTGGTCATCAAGTTTTTGACACCTTGCTAGGCGACTGATGGTACTCGGATGTTGCCATATCCTAAAAGTGGTACAATGGGTGGTGAAAATGTTGAAAAGCCCTGCCCTATAGCATTGTTTTGAGGGGAGAAGTTGAAACATTTTATGTCCAGTATGTGAAGGGTCTGTAGATATTTTCACAGTACTCTGTCTTGTGTATTGTACAGGTCCTCAGTGGAAAGCAGGCTAATAGCAAGTCTTTTTTCTGCAATCCTAACTAGAAGCCTGTGTCTGTCTTTTCTGTAGCATCAGATCTCCTACTTAATTCCATATTTGTCATAAAAAAACCAAACATCATTTAAAATATAAACAGAAGAGTAATAAACAGCTTGCATCATCCAGTGTAGGAAATCTACTTCCTCATAAATACGCTGATAAACAAATTCTTGCTTCTTGGAAAGCGTTATAACAATTAAGTAAAATCGAAGGACTTTTAAAATTTGCCATCATTTCATTTAGTGTTTTAAAGGCTGTAATTGAAAAATAAACAAGCAAATTGGAGGACAAAATAAAGGAATATGAAATGCATTGCTTCTCCTGAAGCCTCTGTTGCCAACAATTCTCACGTTTCCTTCTTGTTTTACTGAGATTTGGTAACCACGTTATCATAGGTTGGTGGAGAAGGAGGAGGATTTGGTTCAGGTGTGACTGCTCCATCTCCGATGACTTGGTAAGGCACAAAATGCATGGTTGGCTGTAACAGAAAAGAATAGTCAATACAAAACATATTCACGGAGGCATCTACTGTATTACTCTGGGTAGGAGAAATAGATTCTCCAGCTGTGTGTTGTTAACTGTAATGCTGGGAGTCTCACCAACAGGCTGAAATCCTTGATAGCTCAAAGTCCTGATAGAGAATTCTTTAAAACTATAAATTAACACGCAAATGATTTAGGGCCAGAGCATTTAAGTGACTTTTCCTGATTGAATCTGCCAGCCTTATCCACACATTCAGAGAATGTCTGCTCAGGATCTCCCACCTACCGAGAGGTGTGACAGGAAGACAATCCCCCCACCCCAGCGAGTGTTCGCTGCATAGAATAGATGGCCTTCTGAAATAAGGATGGTGTCAACTGGGATGGTCCTCTGGAAAGTGGTAAGAGAAGTGAACTGGCTTCTTCTGAGGACCTTTGGGGACTGATTTTATTTTGTGCATTAGTTTTTTCTTTTTTAATATATTTTATTAATTTTTTAGAATAACAATCTTTAGTGCTTAGTAAACGATGTGTTGTCTGGGTTCATATATTTAACAACAGTCAATAATAGTTAATTTCTATGCTTTCATAATCAACATGCTAATTAGAAATACCTTTCCTTGGTCTTCTCTTCTTCCAATAGCATTCTCCTTTTACCAACATTGAGCAAATATAGTTCTTAATACTATCAATACATATGAAGTTGAATATAAACATTTTTCTAGTATTTAACAGTAACATCAGTATGCAATGTCTTTTCTAATCAGCTTATTTTACATTTGCATTTGCAAAAAATCATCTTATGTAAATCGCTATAGGTCCTGTTTTCATAACTCTTATTTAAGCTTAGTTTCCTCTCAGTATTCAAAACATTTCTTGTCAGTTATAGTTTTCTCAAAATTGATTACATTTAAATATCCAAAATATTTCATACATTCAAATCATCCCAATATTTTTACATTTCCCATATCATAGAAAAAATACTATACTACTTATAAATCACATCTCTTACTATAAAACCCTTTTATATCCAAAATTTAAGGGGGAGTTTCACCTATATTTCTCTTTTCACTTTTTTGTCTCCCAAATTCTGGTGATTCTCCTGACAGCTCTATTGTCCATTTTATCAAATCTTCTTTCTTATCTTCAAAAGTTTGTTTTGAAGTTCTGAAAGATGAAATGTCTTTTCCATTTCCAATGTTATAGCAAAATCTTGCAGATTTTTGTCTGTGTTAAGCTGTAATTTTCTTCATTTGTAGCCTCCATCTTTGGGTCACTTTCCTTTATTTTTAGTTCTATTATCTGATTTATTTGTTCATTCTTTGTCACCATTTTCTGAGAATTTTTTTAATTGTGAGCTTAGGTTAATGTGCTCATTTATATAATCAAAATTATTTTTAATTTCATTATGATTTGAAGCAATTGTCATTTGAATTAGTTGCCAACATAACATACATTTCCTCCTGGAAGATATTTGTCTTGTCTTGAAGTATTACTCCTGCAGATCTCTGATGTTCGACTGGGGATTTTGGAAAAGAATATTGTGTGTGGTTTCTTACCACTTTTAGTTGTATATGCAACCTCCATTTTCATCAAATCAGCCAGTCTTAAATTCCAAGCACTATAGTTTTATATGTCTCTTATCTTTATAAACAGCCCAAAATGTTCAACTACTTAAAAACAATCTGGTAATTTCCCTCCTAGAGGAATAGCCAAAAAGTCAAAGTTTTTCTTTCTCTGCAGACAATTCTTAAACTTAAATATCACAGCTCAGTAAGTGTTTATTATCCAAGAAAGTCAGCAGTTTCCATAACAATTGTATTTCTCATACTGCAATAGATAGCTCAGTGTATTTTCTTTCCTCTATTCCCAGCTGTCCTCTGTTTAGCTAAGGATCAAAGGGATAAATTGTGCTGTTTCTGGGCATCTTGCCAATTTCTGAGGCAGGGCAGCTATAGTTCTATACTCTGTTCCAGCTATGTTAGTAGCTGTTTATTTTCCAACTTTTAAAACAAAAAGATTATTTTCTTATAATTTCATCAATATTCTTTTAAATGATAAATCTTAACAATTTCCATAGTTTTCAGTTTTATCCAAATCATAGATTTACATTAGTCCCATAAAAATTAAATTGCCCCTTCCGTCTATGAAAGGGTGGAGGTTGTAGTCCCCTTCCTTCTCACTTTTGGAGGGTTTTTTTCTTCTTGGGAATCTTTTTCCAGAAAATCAGTTTCAAAATAGAGAAGATCAATATTCTCACCCAGCTCCAACACGCTGTTCACAGTTTTTCTTGGTGCTTTTGGACTTTGGATGCCTATAGCTTGGGCTAGTCACCAGAGTGCAGCTAGCCTTTCTGCTGTCGGGTTGGAAGGCTTCCCCCGGATCAAACGGATCGACCATCATCTTTCCGTGATCGACAGGGGGGGCTCCTTCTTCGTCACCTCTCCAGGGTGACTTTAGACCCATTTAGGGTCCCCAGGCAGGGCGAAAACAGCTGTGGGGTGCAGAGCTCCGCAATCTCTCAAACGCATCGCTACGACATGACACCAGAAACCCTTGTGCATTATTATTATTATTATTATTATTATTATTATTATTATTATTATTATTATTATTATTATTATTATTATTATTATTATTATTATTATTATTACATGGATTTATATGCCGCCCTTCTCCCTATAGGACTCAGGGCGGCTTACAGCATATTAAAACACATAAAACATCGTCCCCCCATAAAAACCTATTAAAAACCAAATATTTTTTTTTCGCTGTATAATTAATTAAGATTTAAATTAAAATTGTCCCTATTTAAAAATTCTCCCTAGGCCAGACCCGCTTGTTGAAAA